TTAACCTGAGAGGTGAGGAGGACTCTCTCCGCGTTGTTCGGTAATCCCAGCCAGGATGGAGTCTGCGTGTCAGGCAGCATTTCCACCCACTGCACAAACTCGTCACGTCTAAAAGAAAAAAAAAAAAACACAAATTGAATAACAAAGGACATTAGGAATATTAACGGCTATGCCGGGGCAGAAAAAACATTCAGTACGTCTCTGCAGCACATACAGTCTCGGATGTTTCATCCTTTTGAAAAACTGCCAGTACAAAAAAAAAAAAAAAGCAAAAAAACATGTTAATTCTGCCAAAAATCCAGTGAGCGCCTCACTTCCAGTTGGTCAACAACACTACCTCTGCTGCACTGAAATCCCAAGCAACTGATGTCAGGCCTGAACAAGTTCTCCTCTGCTGGACTAAGATCTGCTCTTCCCCACATGTTTGCATTGATTCTTTTCCAGCAAAACAATGTTGCTGCCTTGACTCCTTAGATACACTGTATGCAAGGAAAAGACAATATTGTCGAGATCCACCCCGCTGGCTCTGCCTATCTAGAAGCAGAGCCCGCTGTGCCCACCCCGTCCCCCATCCATTCCTTCAGTCAGCGCTGGAGGATCGGAGAGGGGGCAAACCCCTACGGGGAGCGGTGACTGTCAGTCACAGTTCTCTGCAGGGAGATGATCGGGAAGTCAGCGATCGGCAGTATGTATTTGCTGACTTCACAATCAATAGAGCCGACCTGTGACAGTCTCAGCGTTTTTCCACTCTCCTCCCCAGCTCCCCGCGGACACAAAGATCGCCGGTCCCGGGCCCGTAGGAGGGGCAACGGAGCCCGGGAAGCACGGCGGGGGTGTCCGGCGGGGGGCGTCCCCCTTCTTCGGGACGCAGAAGCGATCTGGCGATAGGTAAGTCGCCAGGATCGCTTCTGTTGTAAAGCCGACAGTCGGCTCTACAAGTTTAAACAGACTCCCGGCGGCAAAAGTCACCGGGAGTCTGTTTAAACAGCCCCGATGCTGGCGACGTACACTGTACGTCGTCAGTCACGAAGGGGTTAACAAACTAAAAGGCAAAATGACGTTAGGACACGATCTAGAGGTGGAGGAGTTTATTTTTATTTTTTTTCAGGTAAATTTGGGTCATAGCTGAATAAAACTTTTAAGATAATCTGACAGTCTGGAATTTTAAGCTACACATAATAATTAATAATAGGATGGCAGCCGAGCTGAATATTTAGATCACATGGAGCCAAAAGAATCCGATTCATCTGGAATGGTCTATAGCTCCCCTGGTTAGTTCAATGAAGCCCTTTTCCTGTATAAAATTAACACCCTTTGACTCTCTAACTGGAGAGAAAATCTAAACGGCCTTTTTAGTTACCCATGGCCATGGCCATGGCCATGTGATGCTCCAGTACCGAGTCATTGTCTTTTCTTGTTTACATTCAGGGGGGGGTCCATCTTTGGGTGTCCATGTCACTGCCTGCGTGACATGGACCCATTTCTATTGGCCATCCAACAGCACAACAGAGTGATGTCAGCCCATCTGCAGTGCTAGGTTAGCGCCCCAGCCCCCGCCCCCCCCCTGCACTCGGATGTGGCGATGGCGAGGGACCTGGACGAGTATAATTTGCTTTACCAGGGAAGGAAAACAAAAAACCTTGCAGGAGGGGTTAGAGAGGGATGGAAGGGCGTTCATATTTTTACAGGAGTAAGGTTTTAAGATTTCCTTCTCTGGAAACTGCTGAACATTGTCTGAATTAAAAACATGTAAAAAGAAGTTCTGAAGAAGAAGCCAAAACAGACAGGTCCTCTTTATACACGACGGCCTTAGAAGCACCCCTGAGAAATTGCACAAGATTACCTGATACCATCCGGCATCTGGATGTCTTTGTGTCCATCGATTTTACGAGCGAGTTTAAAGTCCCCATCGAAACTGGAGGTGGTGAAGAGCCTGTCCAAGAAGGTGTTGAGCAGCCGCTGATCGAATTCGTTGTCGATTCGGCCTCCATAAATGGACTGCGCCATCAGGGTCTTCAGGGCAGACCACGGGATCTTGTCAGGGGAAATGTTCTGGCGGCCCTGAAAAGAAGGATCCACATGGAGGTAAGATTGAAGCGGAACATTCCAGGGACACTGTTAGTTCTCTAACATCTCCGCTCCTGGTTCTCTAACAGCTCCACTCATCCCAAGACCTCCTGCTTTCCAGCTCCCTTGTCAACTCCTCCCATGCTCGCCTCCAGGACTTCTCTAGAGTCTCTCCCATCCGCTGGAATTCTTTACCCCAACCTGTCCGTCTGTTGCCCACCTTGACTGCCTTTAGGCGGTTCCTAAAGACTCATCTCTTCCGGGAAGCCTATCCCACCTCAACCTAACCGCTCAACCATCACGTTCTCAAACAATTCATCCCCACGCAGCTCCCTCCTCATGTACCACTGGCCCCTCCCTTTTAGATTGTAAGCCCTCAGGGGCAGATTGTAAGCCCTCCTTCCCATCTTGTCTTGTATTGTGATTGTAATGTCTTCCTTATATTGTAAAGCGCTGCTGGCGCTATATAAATCCTGTATAATAATAATAATCTAAGGGCGCTTATCAAGGATTAGAACATGCGGCAAGTCCTACTTCCACCAATGCGAGCGCCATCTGAGCGACTTACTTTAGCAGTGTCATCCAGCCAAGTGTCCACCGTGTCACAGGCAGACCTCAAATCAGATTCACCAAATTCATATTTCTTAGACCAACCCAGGGGAGCGTAGCGCAGACGTTCCTGGATGATGGCATGGAACCAGGCTAGCAGGAAGTACAGACGGGCGCGCTCATTTGGAGCCTAGAACAGAATAGTGGAAAACAAATGTAGTAAACGTCACTCATGTCTATTGTATTGGGTGGATGGGCTGACCCTCGGTGATGTCACAGTCTTTACCTTACAGATCCTGGCAACTGGAATACTGCTGAAGGTTCTCATCATGTTGGCCTTCACACCGGGAGGTGGCTCAAACACAAAGATTCGTCCGGCACGCAGCAGGTTCACGGGTACCTTTGGCAGAAATTAAGGGCTCAGAACACACGGCAGCTAAAAGCATTTTTTTAAAAAATTTTAATTTAATATTTTTCAAGCTGTACCTTGGGATTGATCTCCATCGTCAGGAAAAGTCGGAAGGATGAATGTGGTTGTAGCGAGTGGAGCTTCTTCTCCAACTGCATCAGCCAGCCAGGTGCCAGATGTACATTCTTCAGCATTACCCACCTGCAGGCAGAAATGTACCAGTCACCACTCATGTAGAACATTATCCAGCTGATCCGGCCCATTCACACCAGCCCAGTACGCTGAGGTCCATTAAATGTTACCATAGAGCAATGGTGTGAACAGGTCAGATCGCCGATCCAAAACACACTAATCACAAAAATGTATCCATTACTGCATTCAATGGTTGCTAATTGCACTGCTAGACAAATTCAAGTGACACTGGCCCCTGGCCATGCAGGGTTAACATTCACTTAAAGCTGAAATCTAGGCTAAAACACAAGAGGCATGGGAATTCTTATGGGAAACTTTGTGTATTTCTTGCAAACCTGCACAGTAATCCAGCATGAAATGACTCCAGCACTTTGCCGCTGTGCAGGAGATTCCTATAATAAAGACCAGTCATTGCTGCTCTCTCTCCGTGTGCCGGGTGACTGGTCTAGTCTCCCCCCCTCCTGTAAAAGACCGCTCACTGCTGCTCTCTCCTTGTGCCGGGTGACTGGTCTCGTCTCCGCCCCTTCCTATAATAAAGTCCGGTTACTGCTGCTCTCGTTTTGCAGTGGGAGGGGACAGGCTATGTGCAGCACAATGATGTCATGGTTACTTTTTCTTTAAAACATTTTATTACCAAAGTTAGCCTTTAACTGCTTCCACTTCCCCTGCCAGTTTCTTATATACCTACTTTACCTTAGTTCCTCTGTTCCACCTTTGGGAGCAAAGAGAAACACCCAGAACTTCAGGGTATGGCAAGCACATGCCATACTCTGTACAGCTGTCCGAGCAACCAATCACAAGGACTGAGCCTGGTCACGGATTATGGAATTAGAATGTAATGTAACCCCGAGAATTTGAAAACCTTTGAGAACTTACCGTCCAGACTTCACAGCTGTATTGATGGCCTTCTCTGCTTGATTGAATCCTTCCGCAGATCCTGAAGCACAGAAGATACAAGCACAGTTAGCAAAGTAAAAAAAGCCATCAACAAAGCACCGTTCTATGTGCAGAGAGACAACGGGGCATACCAATGGCTATAGATGTAATCTGGGTATTCTGTTCCGCTGCCAGGTCTTCGCCGCGCCCGCTGGCGTCGAATCCAGGAACGGAGCACATCAGAACAGGTGTGCTGGGTTTCACCTGCAGAAATCACAATTCAAAATTGACTAATCCACATGACATAACTAGCTATTCATTCCACGACTTTACATTAATACCACTGCATGGATTTTTTTCAATGGCTCATCACCTCTGTATCCACAATATATGCCAGATCCAATGGCTGGTCTATGACAGACATAAAGGTTTCTCCCAGGATGGTTGAGACGAAGATATGAGCCATGGCCAGCAGGCGGTCAGGGCGGAAGGCTTGGATGAGGAGTAAGCGGTGGACGGCATGGCCGATAGGTGCTGAAAACAAAAAGGGACAACGCTTAGTTTAAACTGACATCCCTATCATGTTCTGCCATTGCCACAATCTCACAGCCATAGCAAATAATTAAATCCCAACTTCAGCCAAAACCTTTTATTGCCGTCTGTGACCTTGTTAGGCAGATCCAATGATCATTAAAGACATGCTCAATAACTTTATTTCTCTCGCAGAAAACCATTTCAGAACCTTCAGTGGTCCCATTCATCAGGTGACGGTTTACACTAGTCAGGCTCCTTGCATTCGGACCCAAAAGGCAAATTTCCCCTCATTGTCCAGGTGACGGGCGTAGAGACAGAACAGAAGTATAAGGAAACGTCCCAATTGGGACATTCAAAGCACTTAAAGTGGACTTTTACCCCTCCCTTTGACTAAAAGTCACATCGGCATACAGCTCTGCATGCTGATAGAAGAAAATATGTTTCTTTAGCTAATGAATGCAAGATGATCTTACAATTTCTTTTTTTTCTACTTCCTGGTCCACTTCGGCAACTCTTGTGCCCATGTACTGTACATCAGCACTATGGTACACTAAACAAGGGGCAGCAGATATAGTGGCATTGGATCAGTCATTGATGGAGGAAGGCACAATAGGCGGTAAGTGCCATTGTGGCAAAAGTACATCCCCCAGAAAACTTGAGTTCTGTTTTAAGGCTGGGCAGAGACGACTCTAATTTTGGCAATTGCTGTCGAATTGGGCAACAGATAAAGGTGCGTGTCCGTGTCCCTGTAAATAACAGACACTTACTAGCAGGCTTTTCTTCACTCCACAGGTATGGGACGGTCTGCTCCGGAGAGCTGCTCTCAAGCCAGATGCAGAATTGCTGTAAAGGAAACAAACATTAGTCCAAGTCTTTAATAGGATGGGGGGGGTCGCCTTGCAGCGGGAATTGGACTCCTAGATATTCCTGTCTGTGCGCAGGATTCCACAGGTAACTCACTTCGTCAGATTCAACTTTGTCTACAAGATCCTTGAAGGCCGGCATATTGGCGAGTCTAAACATGGCCTCCACCTGCTCCTCGGACAGGCCACCGATTTTGGGGACAGAGGAAGACCCAAGACTGATCTCTTTTCCTCTTAGGAAGTGCTGGAACTCGTGGTCGTACGTTGGCTCCCTGAATTAACACGAGGAAGGAAACAAAGTCACTACAACTGTAGCAGTGCTGCCATCTACAAAGCTGAGAGGATTATTCACAAAAGGGTGAAGAGTTTGGAGAAGGGAGGAGAAGTGAACACTCTAGGACAGGGGTAGCAAACCTCCGGCTCTCCAGCTGTGGTGGAACTGCAAATCCCAGGAGGCATTGCAAGATTCTCACAGCCACAGACATGACTCCCGAAGAGAGATGCATCATGGGATTTGTAGTTTCACAGCTGGAGGGCCGGAGGTTTGCTACCCCTGACCTAGGACAACATAGCTGAGCTGGAAAGTGAGCTGAATTGGAGGATTTTTCCAAATCAGCTATTGTAGCCTAGATTGTTCACTTCCCCGGCCTTCTACAAAAACTCTTCACCCTTTTGTTAATAGTCCTGTAAGTTTAAAGCAGAACTCCATGAAAATCTAAAAAATTAATCCCTTCCAACTACCACGATATAATTACTTAAAAAATTTCTTATCCCAATCATTAGGCTCTGTGGAAGAGCCAAGCTGGTAACTTTACATGCTTCAGGCATTGGCAGCTTGGAGGGGGTAGGGGAGGGAGGGGGGGCTCCAATGCTCATTTTTAGTCTAATGTGTGGGACAGAGAGACCGGGGACTGCCGGACCTGAATGTTTATGCCACATTCTTCATATGGTATGATGGAGGTGTATCAAATCACAATGCCAGCTTATCAGAATTACCAGTGACATGCAAAAAGGTTCATAAGTAGCTTTTTAACCCGGTTTTATATCTTTTGGCACAACAAAGCAAAACGCACCACACACCTAGTCTGGGAGACGCTACGATCATCAGAATTAAGAAGCTGTAATGTTTGACCTCTATGCTGAAGTTTGCACCTATAGGACCCTGAAGCACCACTTAAAAGGATCTGTTGTAATCAGAAATCCTCAGTGCAAAAATGTAAAATGTTGCAGCAACATACAATACAAGGAGGGGAATAGATCAAAACCGGAGCAGACGATAATCTAGCGCAGCTGCCTATGGCAACCAATCAGCTGCTATCTTTGCTTTTTAAGGCTTACCTCAACTGAAGAGTGAAGCCGATTGGTCACTAGTTGCAACTGCTACAGATTCCGTCTGCTCCGGTTTTGATTAATTCCCCTCAAGGTCTTTACACTAAGCTTGAGTAACCTGAAGTCGTATGAAGATATGGAGCTAAAGTTTCATATGCTTATTATATTTTGCCTTTCCTGGAGTTCAGCTCTAACTCTTGGTGCACCACGTTACCCTAGCCCTGCAGAAAAATAATCCGGTGACATTACCCAATGATTCCCTTCAGCTTAATCCTGGCCAGCAGCATAGCAAATGTAATGTGGTCCTGATGCAACATCCCTCGGGCCACCCTGTTGAAGGCCACCTGGAAAAAAAAAAAAGTAGGATTACATCCAATTAGCCACAACATAAATTGAGGTCGTGGTCACATGATCACATGCTCCAGGACATGGCCACTGACAAAACAAAGAATAAAATAAAAAATGAAGGAAGGGTTTAATAACCCAGAGCATGCTGTTGCAGGTCATAATCCTTGGCACACAGTCAGTATTGCGATTTACATACACCTGTCACATTGCACAGTCATGCAGGTGACATTTATCTTCCAAGTCAACAGGGAAGCTTCTTATATCATCTTTTCACCCTCCAGCCAGCTTACTGGTCAATGAATCAGCGTTACCCCATCTCAGTCCAATGAGCGGATCCAAAAGGAGGAGTCAGAGTAAAGGCAGATTAAAACTACAAATAATTTGGCAATAAAACCTGCAAAACATATATATTTCTAATATGCATTTAGCTGCTGGTTTATATAATTCCTCTATTAGGTATAGAGAGAGAGCTTTCAAAAGACCAGGAGAGAGAAAGGTGCAACTGCCAGCAGACCTACTTCATGTACTCTTTTTATGATGTATTTAAATAACACTGATAATCTACACAGCGCTTTACATATCATTCACATCATTCCCTGACCTCAGGGAGCTTACAATCTAAGGACACACACAGGGCCCAATTTTAGACGGGAGCCAATTAACCTGCCAGCATGTTTTTGGATTGTAGGAGGAAACCAGAGTACCTTGGGGAAGCCAACACAAGACCGGGATTTGAATTGAGGACCCCATTTCACCCTCCACAGCCCCGTTATAGCAAGAGGATCTATCATGCACTGAGACGGCCACTGTGGGATCCCAGTTAGCGGCAGACAGGAGATGCACGTCCCCTGCCCTTGTTCTGGTGACATAGCAACACAAGGCAATGAGACCAATGTCACTATCTGGCATCTGTTAGTCATCGTTGCAGTATGTGAAAGTTCCACCAATTAGGTTGCATACTCCAGGAATCAGGCCGCTCATAGACTCGGGAATGATAAACTGGACTTTATACCATTATTGACTGACATGATAAAAGAGAGCTTATTGTACCTGGAAGAGGTCTTTAGTGATCACAGAAAGACGCTGAGTGTGATCTGTGATGCCCTTGAGGTTGGCATTCTCATACAGCACAGTGTGGTAGATGTCCAGGAAGAACTGCAGGGAGTACTGGTACAGGAAGTGGATCTATATCAAGAAGAAAAAAAAATACAATTACACATTTACATCATAATGAGAGGATTTAATGGATCACCGTAAAGCACAACTAAAAATCATTCTGCGTTTATATACACATGCAAGTGCCAAATGCAATGCGTTATTTGCATAAAATTTTTTGTTACCTCTGGAAGAACATAAAGTAAACCATCATCAGCCTCGCTCGCTCCCACTACACCGTCCTGCAGTGATGATGTTTACTTGAAAATTACTTTCAAGTAAATGTTTCAATCATTACTAAAGGAACACTAAAGGAATGCTATACCTACACCCCACGTGTGTCACACATGGAGACTGGAGGCGTTTCTCACCTGTTTGAGGGACTCCATTGTGAAGTAGATGCTGCTGCAGGCAGTGGACAGGGGCAGGTACTGCTGGGACACGTTCTCCACCTCCTGCATGACGATGTCAGTCTCTTCTACTTTGCGGGTGACCTCTGCGGCCTCCTTCTTCAGGTTCTCCAGAGTGGTGATGATGGTGTCGTCATCCAGTATGCGACCTTTGACCTCATTGAGGGCCTGTAGAAGAGATTTCTCTAGCTGTCTCAAGCGGAGCTGGAACTCACCTGGAAGGTAAGAATACCGTCATTTCCTGTCCCCTTTCTGTACAATCATAAGTACAGTTATTTAAAAAAAGAGAACCTCCCACAAACAGTTGAAAAACATGTGAAAGAATAATTATAACGGTCAGATGTTAATCCTCCTTTGTGCTATAGGGGAATGGCAATGCCTCACCTCCAGTCTGCTTTTTTGGGCTGTTGGGATTCCATTTATAAAGCAGCAGTGTGGCATTACAAGGGCTTAAAAGGGGAAAGCAAAGCTCCATTCATTCCAATGAATAAAAAAAAAGTAAGCTATGGGAAGGGAAGCGGGGTCATGCGTCTTGTCAAACTTATGGGACCGGCCTCTCCTCCAAGCAGAGGCTGTGTAACGCAGAGAGATCACCTTGGGACGCTGCAGGCTCCACAAATTCAGCTTTTTTTTTTTTTAATCAGATATTTTATTAAAGATTTTTTAAACAATAAACATAAAGGCTCTGCAACATACAAATTCAGCTTTTGATGTTTTTATGAGCGACTCCAAACAGACAGATCGTGTGGAATAAACACTGCGCTGTCCAGCCGACGGCTTTACCCGCTCTTTACTATAAATAGGCCCCATAGTGAATACAATGACCTTAACACCATACAAGATCTCACTCTTCTAAAGTTCCTCTCCCTCGTGCTTACCAGCCAACACTCCTACAGTAAGCCTGATTTCAACAGTTGGGATTCGGCAACTCAATCCAGAGCACCTATGGTCACATACTACTTTGTACATCTGCAGTAATGAATTTCCAGTGCACATCTTGCTTCATTTAAAGTAGTCGCAGAGGCCAATCCAAATTAGAGCACTTACATTGCAATGTTTCAAATAGTAGAAATTGCAGTCGGTACCTTTTTGTTATTATAAGCGGGTCAATACCTTCTGTCCGAAGAAGGCAATGGTGTATCTCATGATTTGTACCTGGAGAAACACAAGCACGGGCTCACCTTGAAGCTTAAGGAGGTCAGATCTCTTCTCATCTACATCTGGTCTTTCTGCCTTCAAGACCTCATTCAGACACTGGCTCTGCAGACTGCTGCGAGTCACGGTGAAGTTCACAAATGTTACACGTGAGCAGAGATCTGGCGGGAATTCCACCTTTGAAATAATAAAATAAATAAGCATCGCGTATTTTGCTATTGCAGACAGTTTTTATAGAACCCATGTGTGCCTTGCTACATACCGTGGGATCCCTTGTAGAGAGGAATATTACAAAGGATGGGGACAAGTCAATGTCCTGATCTCCCAATGTGATCAATACTCGGCCACCAGTTCTCCGAACCTCGCGGTTCAGGACAGGGTTAAGGATAGGATCGTAGCTTTCCACATCCTGAAAGGGAAGAAAAAAAAAAAAAAAAAGTTACTCATGCAAAGCATTAGCCACAAAGTCACCTACACATTAAAGCAGAACTCCACTTATTCTTTAAGATAAAAACCAAAAGCCTACGAAAGTTAAAATAGAAGATTGTTAGATACAAAAGGTTTGTATCCAAGTGTGTTTAAAAGGTTCAGTTTAAGACACATGAACCCACCTGGACAAGAAGTGGGTTTCCGAAACGCAGAGCGCTTTCCAAGTTCTTTCTGAAGGCATCATCCAAGAAGCTTGTACGGGTGATCTTGCGTTCTTTGTATTCATTCATGATGAACTCTGTTGCCTGGCCTGATGGATCAATGATCAGAGGATACCTGCAACACATACACACAGGATTGTAGTATCTGATCCGACATTGGCTTTCACTTCTGGTATGGAATGCAGTAAGGACCCCTACGTTCATTCTGGTATGGAATGCGGCAAGGACCCCTACGTTCACTTGTGGTATGGAATGCAGTAAGGACCCCTATGTTCATTCTGGTATGGAATGCGGCAAGGACCCCTACGTTCACTTGTGGTATGGAATGCGGTAAGGACCCCTAGGTTCACTTGCGGTATGGAATGCGGCAAGGACCCCTATGTTCATTCTGGTATGGAATGCGGCAAGGACCCCTAGGTTCACTTCTGGTATGGAATGTGGCAAGGACCCCTAGGTTCACTTCTGGTATGGAATGCGGCAAGGACCCCTAGATCCACTTCTGGTATGGAATGCAGCACGGACCCCTAGATCCACTTCTGGTATGGAATGCAGCAAGGACCCCTAGGTTCACTTCTGGTATGGAATGCAGCAAGGACCCCTAGATCCACTTCTTTTATGGAATGCAGCAAGGACCTCTGGGTTTACAGTATCTGATTCTTTGAAGCCATGACTTTTAGGGCACGCTGCTGTCTTTGCAACCTCTGCTATTCAAGTTCTTCTGTCAAATATGCACTAAATGTTCTCTTATGGGTGGAAACATAAGACATTTAGGCACCTTTAACTGATAGTCTGAATAAGTGATGTCAAAGTGCAGAAGTACACTAAAGTTCCAACTACAATGTCAAGTACTGAAGATTTTAACCACCACTAGACATACCATAAAATAAAATCTACACCCGACTGTAAGAGCTGCCAATATCGAAGCGTCTATGTCCCATCAAGAAGATTTTCCTTCAGGTCCTGTCCCAGAGACCAAAAAGGAAGAGATTGCACCAAAACAAAAAGGTATATCCCCTCTAAGATAGCCGTCACCAAACCAGACGTCTCCAGTCAAGATTTTCCCTCGCCACCTGTTATAGGGACAACTCATGGTATTGATTTTCATTCACTTTCTGTACCAGTGACAATGGTCAACAGAACCAAAAGAGAGGGTGCCGTCTTTGTCCACACACAGTGTGAACACAGACAGCGATACAAACCTGGCAAAGGTCCTAACACTTCCACATTTTATCCAGAACTAAAATAAATGTTGCTTTAGAGTTAAAGAATGACATTCCATGGCAGGGATTCAGCAGCCAGCCAATACCATGGCCTCAGGATGCCAACAGCTACAAGCCCCAGCAGGCTTTGGGGCAATCTTGACCACCACGGGTGTGCCATGCAATGGGAAGTCAACTACTGAAGTTGTAGTGGGCCTTCAGGGCCATTATGTCAGGACAGAAATACAAATAAACATTGCAGATATGCAATGTCTTTCAATGGTGTCACCCAGCCAGTGAGGCCTTTAGAGTTATTGAATGGAAAAGATGTTACCTGTTGAATCGTTTTAGCATGATGGCGTTCTCTGTGCATAGGTCATCAGCAGGTAAGGAGCTGGCTTGCCAGCGAAGTCTCTCATCTGCATTGGATAGATATTCAGTTCTTGCAATGTCTGTGCGGAACTGTAGACAAGCCAGAAATGTTCATGTAAAAAAGGTATGATAAAAGGTAATACAAGCTGGTAAGGCTGGATTCAAACCCTTACGTTGTGTTATTTCCTCATGCATTACCATTATGCATCCAGTAAGCCAACCTATTCATTTTGAATGGGCTGCCAACACACCACAACGGACCTTTAAACGCACCTTCCCAATACACAGATGATTCACATCTGTGCATTGTGTTGCGTTAAAGCGTAGGTCCACTGGGGTGCACTGAGTGCCATTCAAAATCAGTGGCTCTGAGGCTTGCAGTTCATGCATTACAGTACTGTAAAACGCACGTTTTACTGCAACGCAAAAGGTGTGAATCTGGTCCGAAACAATTTAACTCTATCAGCAACGAAAGCATTTAAAACTCTGAAAAGCTGACTGAGTAGAGTATATTACCTGGATATTGGCCTGCTGCAGGTGATGAGACCAAGTGGTGAACAAGTTCTGCCTCATCTGCTGGTCGAAGTAACCAGCATAGGCGATGAAAGCTGCGGACAGCAGACAGTCACCGGCGATGGTGGCCATCTGGTTTTTGAAGGTCTCGCTGGTCTTCTCCCACCGCTCTCTCTCCGCCGACAAGCTTTTTAGAAGGGCAGTACTGCGGTTCACCTGAAAATCAGATCATATTTGCATCTCAAAAAGCTGAAAGATATTAAAAGCGGAGCAAGTGCCGGACGCATTAACACTTACACAAAGTTCCCCCCGCTTTGTAAAGTAGCCACAAGCCAATAGGTCAATCTTAAGGAAAGTTGTGCTGGGTATCATGCCCTCCCATGCCATACTATTGGCCCAACCAAAAGGACAGCCTTACTGGCCAATAGTGAGGTGGGGCTAGTGGTGGGGCCAAAAGAGATGCCAAAAAGTTGCCATTTGTCTCAAAAGTCTTAAAAAAGTTGTGACACCAAACGTGCGACCACCTTCTTTAAAGGTCTGCCTGTGGTTTAGAACACTCAAAATGCTCAGTGCCCACCCTCTCCATTAACAAATGCAGTTTGGCAACATAGTTTATAATTCTAATGCACCAAGCTGGCTAATTTTCCCCCCGATTCAGATCTGCTCAGACCGCATATGCCAAGGATTTCCCATACAGATCCTAAGAGTAAATTCTTCCACAATTACTTGTCGCTTCAAGATATGGCGTATCCTCATACAGCTTTTTCTTTCTCAGGTCATGTGTTCATTGTAGATGCCAATACTGCTTTCACCAAAAAACTAAAACAAGCACAGATATAAAAACATGGGCATCAGCCCTTTCATCGTACCTTAGCTTCTACCGCAGCCAGGTCAGCTTTGATGGCCTGGGCCTCGGAAATGAGAACTGCATATTCCTCCTTGTAGCGGGCAATGCTGGCTTCCAAGTCTCGGATCATCTGCTCCACTTCATCGGCCTTTGCCTGGTTGTCTTTGGCATCATCCTCCAGTTTCTGGAGCTCATTCCTCAGGGGCTCCACACGCTTCAACATGTCAGCGTAGTTCAGCTGTTACAGGAGCAAAGAACATTAAACATGTGTTCCCCGACATTCTTGTTAGCTTTAAAATGGTCACCTTTGGAGGTTAGTGTCTATGACATGAACTAGGTTCTATCAAAATGGTGACTGCATAGCTCAGAGTAAAGAGAAGCTTCAGGCAAAAGAATAAACTTCCAACAAGTAGATACATTTTACACAAAATAAACCACTGAACACAAGATAAAACATTTGTGTGTTACCTGTGCAATTGCCCATTTCACCATAGGTCCACAAGCCAGGGAGGCTCTGTTTACAATTTCATAATTGTAGCTGGGATTGGACATATAATTCTTCTTCATTTTCTCACGAATGGCATCGCTAAAAGGAGAAGGTCACAGAAAAACAAGTCAGGTTTATGCCAGAATAGCCGCAATCTCTTGTGCTAAACAGACTGAGGGGGCAGGACTGGGAGGATACACCTAATGTTCTGGTGGGTTCAGACATGGCCTCGTCTCCCTTGCAGAATAAGCTTATCTGGGGAAACTAAAAAGGTAAACTGCAACCATTTGAACAGTCCATACTTTTAGCAGTGCAGAAAACAAGCATTCAACACCATTAGGGGCTGGGGGGTGGTAGGAAGAGTCACCATAGTTGAACGCCTGGTGGACAATCCATAAGGCCTTGTATAAAGAGCAGTGTGTACAGCAAAGCCAAGCTTAAGGCAGTTGTGTTGAAACCTTTAACGCAACCACTAGCTGCAGCTGAATTTAAGAGTTTGTTAAAACAAATAGGGGGGCAGGATTTTACTTTAAACAAGCAGCTAGCAGGTTTTAATCAAGTTTCACATGGTGCTGGAGCTTCATGAAGCCCGCTAGCAGCTTGTTTAAACCGACAGCATGTACGCCCATTATGAACTGTTGCTGCTGATCTCTGCTTGTGCAGGGTGACTGGTCTCGTCTCCGCCCCCTCCTGTAATAAAGACCGCTCACTGCTGCTCTCTCTCCTTGTGCAGGGTGACTGGTCTTGTCTCCACCCCCTCCTGTAATAAAGACTGGTCACTGCTGCTCTCTTTGTGCAGGGTGACTGGTCTCATCTCCGCCCCCTCCTGTAATAAAGACCGCACACTGCTGCTCTCTCTCCTTGTGCAGGGTGACTGGTCTCGTCTCCGCCCCCTCCTGTAGTTTTCTGCAGGCAGCTTGTAGTGGGTGGAGCCTGCTGGGTCTCTCCCTTAGCACTGCTCTCTGCACAGGCTATGTACACCACAGTGATGATGTCACCGTTACAAGATAATGACTATGTTTGCAAAGGCATTTGGTACATACAAAGTGTATTTGTGTTCTTCGTAGCTATTGAGGAATATATCTGAATCAAAGTTTCTGTGCCTGGAGTCCGGCTTGAACTACATGCAGAGTACATGAACTGGACCAAGCATGTGTGTATTGGGTGCCCAAATGCCTCTCTTGCTGCAAGGTTGTTGGTGACTCAAAGAGCAGCTCTATCCAGGATCTTTATGCGGGGACAGCTTTGGGTTACCTGCCTCCAAATAGTTGGCACAAGTCTGCCAAGAAATCTGCTGCAAGAAGGAGCTGCTGCTTAAATTGAAAATTTGGCAGGGGTTAGGAAAGACAGAACTAAAAAAAAAAAAAAAAAAAAACCAAAAAAGTATGAAAAAAAAAAGGTATTTCAGATGGCAGACAGAGACGGAGCTGAAGCAAGTTATAGTTTAAAGGGAGCAGATTGCTGGACAGCATCAGCTGACGACAGAAGACGACAATACCTGAGATCTTCTGAGCATAAGTTGATAATCTGGGTGATGAAATTATCCCTGAGAACAACAGTTCTGATCTTTTTCCAATCACTCGTCTCCTCTCCCAGGAGGAGACAGATGGACTCTAGGGCCAGTTTTACTGCAGCGGGAGGGTTGGCCATTGCTTTTACTTCAACAAGGTGCTGCCTCTTTATAGAGCTCACCGCTATGAAGGGAGGGGGGTGAAAACAGTGTTAACATACATGCAGTGTTAGTAAAGAAACTGCCGCTGGGGATCTGTGAAAGAAATTTCAGTTTCAGGAAATGGTAAAATGAAAAAAAAAAAAATGAATCCAGAACACTGAGCAACGCCAGATCCGAGATTTTAATTCTGGGTGGCGTCATCTACTGTAAAATACTCCCAACTGGGAGATCTTCCTTCCAAAGCCCTTGGCTGGGTATCACCACTGCGCATCTAAGGGTCTTAGGCCTTGCTCACACCGGCTTCAGCTTGTATAAGAGGAGTGTGTACATTAGGCTCATGCAAAAGCATATGTGAAGCTTGCGGTAAGCTTTGTTAAAGAAAACTTCAGAGTCAATATGGAGGACGTTAATCTTAACATGAGTGCCGAGTGTCGCTTTAAACTGCGCAGCCAGGAGACTCCAACAACCTTCTAGTAGCAATGAAGCTCCCAAGTCTTCTAGCCAGTACAAAAAAAAAAAAAGTCAGCTCTATATTTAAAAGGAGAACTATTGGGTCAGGGCTTTTCCCCATAGTTCTCCTTAGGGTAACGGGAGGACACAAACTAGCGTCCTCCCGTCACCCTAAGCTCAGTATACCGCGAGCTACAACTCTATATACTGAGACGCCGCAGCTGAAGCGGATCCTGACAATTATGTCTGGATCCGCCCAGCTGCGTGAGTGACAGCTGGCTCTGCCTATCAGGAGGCAGAGCCAGCTGTACCCGCACCCTCCCCCATCCGTTCTGCCAGTCAGCGCTGGCGGATCGGAGCAGGGGGGAATCCAGCCCCTCCCCTGTCGCGGCAGAGAGCCGTGACCAGATCAAGAGGTGAGCGAACGCCGGTATGTGTTCGCTCACCTCCCGATCTACTGAGCCGACCTGTGACAGCCTCATTGTCACAGGTCGGCTAGAACTATGAGGTGAGTGAAAAGCACTCACCTCATAGTTCTCCTTTAACAAACCTTACAAAAGTTTTAGGGGTTGAGTTTCCCAGTTTCCCTGCATTTAACGTGCGTTTGGAATGCAATCCAGCAAAATCCCATTTACTTTAACTGGAGCAGTACACACGGCAGCTCCAAGGATGTGTGACTTGCTTTGCGCTGCCTTTGATGCCTCATGTCTAAATAAAAGTGGTAGTTAGTAACTGCATTAACACTGTTCTCATGATCAATGAGCATTTACTAATTGCTTGCACTAAAGTCTGCAAAGCACTGCATCTGAGATCGTATGAACCTGGGCAGGAGGACATGCAGCTGGACTACAAGGGGGTGAGGGAGGAGGGATCATCGTTGTGGCTTTGCACAGTCTCTTTGCTGCAGTGGCAGATGGGACGTGTAGTAATTCTCTGGGCGCGATCCCAGGGAAGGCAAAGCCATGCACTACTGCATTACAAGAAGCAGAAGCACACCAAGATTTAGGTAAGGGTAGGGGTTGTATTGGGTGATTATATTTACCACCATACTTCAGGTTACACCATTAATATGGGTGCAAGATAAAGTATGGTCTAAAACTGGGATTTATCCCATCAGGTGCATTTGAACTGTAAGCAAAGCAAGTCAAACGCAGCCTTTTCTTGTTAAAGGAGAACTATGAGGAGAGTGAAAATCAGTCATCCTCATAGTTCAAGCTGACTTCTGACAATGAAACCGTCACGTCGGCTCAATAGATCGGGAAGTGAGCAAACACATACCGTCGCTCGATCATCTCCCTGCAGAGAGCGTCAGTCACGGCTCCCTGCAGGGATTCCCCCACCCCCCTCTGATCCTCCAGCGCGGAGTGGAGTAACGGATCAGGGAGGGGGCGGGTACAGCTGGCTCTGCCTCTAAATAGGCAGCACCAGCTGTCAATCACACAGCTGGGTGGATCTCGACAGTAATGCCGGGATCCATCTCGGCCGCGGCGGTCTCAGTATACCGCAAGCTGTAACTTGTTATATAGTGAGCTTTGGGTCACGGGAGGACGCTAGTATATGTCCTCCCGTATCCCTTGAGAACTATGGGGAAAAACACTTACCCCATAGTTCTCTTTTAAGGTGTGCGTTTTTAAAGCGGCTGCGTGCGTTTGAATGTAATACTCTGTCTGCCCAGAACACCCGTCTGGCTAGAGCGCCCATCGGCATGAACCCTTTTGTACACTCTGCTCATATAAAAGCTGAAGCCCGTGTGAACAAGACTTTACATTTTGGAACCAATCAGCGAAGGGGAGCCAGCAGAATATAGGGACACAGCCAATCATGTGTCACAAAATGGTTGAATCCAGCACGTTTGAGTGTACCCAGCCATTACATAACCTTCCTTTGTAAACAATTCCTTTCTCTCCCCCCCAGCAGCAGTTGTACACAAAACTTATCTATTCACCTGATCTCCTCAGCAGAAAAGTTTACAATAGTCGGGATGAAGTTTTCCCTCATTATGATGGAACGAATCTGCTTCCAGTCCGTTGTACTCTCACCCAGCAGCAGACAGATGGACTCCAACGCCAGCTTCACTGCTGCTGGAGGATTAGCCATAGAACGGACCTCTACCAGGTGCTGCTTCTTTATTGATTTTACAGCTAACCAGAAGATGCGATCACATCAGATCAAAAAAAATAAAAAAAAATAAAAGAAGGACAGACAGCGCGGGAGAGACAGACAAATCCAAAATGACAGACCGGAAAAAAAAAAAAAAAAAAAAGAAGAAGAGGAAATTTGATTAGAACATTCATTGTGAAAAATCATAAGTACAGTATAGCATTCACATCACAAGTGCCGACAGGAACGAAAAATCAAGAGTTGCATTTTAAATAAAGACTTCTGTAGCTTCTAACAAAAAACTGTTTATATCTAAAAACATTTATAACCATTATAACCAATAAGCCTTTATTTTAATTCTCCCTGAAGTCAATGACGTCTAGGCCCAATTTAGCAGCATCTGCATGTGACGGGAAACACAAACATAAGGACCTGTCCACACCTTTACGTTTTGTTGCGCGTTCAACGCTCTATGAAGCTCTACAAAACGTACAAACTTGAAAATCCCATTGTTTTCTATGGGTATGGTTCACACCTTTCCGTATTTCCGCCCGTCTGAACTCGCTACAAAACGGCCTAAGCCCAAAGAAGTACACGTACTTCTTTGGGGCGTTTTGGCCTTGCGTTTCCATTGGGGTACAGCCAAGTAGCCCTCGGAAACGCGCGTTTTTGTTACCACGAATTGCGGTAAAAACGCACGACGACAAACGCGCATATTCAATACGCCTAGGTGTGAACCCAGTCTAACTGTCATTTGTCTGCCTAAAATCATTTTTATTCTTATGGCTTTTCTTTTAATAAAAACTCAACTTTTTTTTTAATGATTACAGGCTAACAAACGCATAAAAATAAAAAAATAAAAAATGTTTCGTTTAAAAAAAGGAGAACTATGGGGTTAAATCTTTTCCCCATAGTTCTCCTAAGGGTAACGGGAGGACACAAACTAGCATCCTTCCGTCACCCTAGGCTCAGTATACAGGGAGCTACAGCTAGCGGTATAATGAGACGCCGCAGCCGGGACAGATCCCGACATTACTGTCGAGATCCATCCAGCTGAGGAATTGACAGCCGGCTCTGCCTATCTAGAGACAGAGCCAGCTGTACCCGCCCCCTCCCGATCCACCAGTCAGCGCTGGAGGATCAGACAGGGGAGGGGGGGAATCCCTGCAGGGAGCCGTGAGAGTCACGGCTCTCTGCAGGGAGATGATCGAGAAGTGAGCGAGCGACGCCATTGTGTTCCCTCACTTCCCGAACTACTGAGCCGACCTGTGACGATCTCATTGTCACAGGTCGGCTAGAACTATGAGGTGAGTGATTTTCACTCGCCTCATAGTTCTCCTTTAAGTAAAAGGTTCAGCAGGTCACCTTATAGGAGCCGTTTTGTTTCCTGAATTAAACCACTTTTTTTTTCAATGAAAAATCAAGACCTGCTTCAATTACAGTGCCCATTTGTTCTGTATATTGTACAGACGGATGTCTAACGATATGCTAATAACTATCAACATCACTATGGCGCTCACCATTCTGAGCCTCAATGACAGCCGGCTCCACCTGATCCAGATCCTCCTTTACATCTTTCTGCTTCTCAGCAATACCCGCTTGCTGCTTATGCAGCTGCTCCTGGATTTCCTGACTCATGACCTGCAGGAAAAAAAACAAACACAAAAACAGACAGTCAGATTTCGCCAATTAAATAATTTCTGTGAAGGTGAGTGCCCTCTGAACATCCTTTAGCCTTCTGTGTCAGTATTATTCAAATATGCTAGATCAGAGAAAGAAAACTGCAGATTTGTGCATTCCCTGGAAAGGAAGCTGTGTGTTCAAGGAGAACTATGAGGTGAGTGCTTTCCACTCACCTCATAGTTCTAGCCGACCTGTGACAATGAGACTGTCACAGGTCGGCTCAGTAGTTCGGGAAGTGAGCGAACACATACCGGCGTTCGCTTACTTCTCGATCCTGTCACGGCTCTCTGCCGTGACAGGAGAGGGGGGTGGATTCCCCCCTCCCCGCTCTGATCCGCCAGTGCTGACTGGCGGAACGGACGGGGGAGGGGGCGGGTGCAGCTGGCTCTGCCTCTAGATAGGCAAAGCCAGCTGTCACTCACGCAGCTGGGCGGATCTCGACAGCGATGCCGGGATCCGCGCCGGCTGCGGCGTCTCAGTATACCGCGAGTTGTAGCTCGCGGTATACTGAGCTTAGGGTGACGGGAGGACGTGCCCTAAGGAGAACTATGGGGAAAAGCCCTGACCCCATAGTTCTCCTTTAAAGAAGCACTGGCATTATGCCCATTCAGTGTAAGGGGGTAGTGTCTCTGAAAAAGGTCCACCCAATGATGCACACATCCCCATTGTAGCTTTGGGTACCCCCCCAAAAAAACCCCCAACATACTCTGGGACAACACGTGATTGACAAGACTTTAAATTCTCAGCCAATCACTAAAGCAAGGCCCTGATCTCCATCATACAACAGTATGAACATGCATCACTATAGCTGCGCATATGTATTCTAAATGACCTTTTAATCTTATACCACCTGCATTGCCATATGTATATCGTTACCTCTAAAGTCAAATGCTTCAGTCGAAGAAGAAAGTAGATTAAAAATTACCTTTTTCTTCTCCGCTTCTTGCTGATCCTTCACCATTTTCTTCAGCTTGTCATTGGCAGCTGCATTTTTCACCTCCAGCTCCTGGCTCTTTATCCGCAGGTCACGGCGCAGTTCCTCCACCTGAAGTCATGAAAAAAAAAAAAAAAAGGATTCCAATTACATTTTGGGGATAGTAACCGAAACAAAAAACGCATGACACATGCAATATGTTTATTCACAAAAAAAAACTTCCTAAACCTCCGATATCATCTCACCAGAGTTCCTAATGTCATCAAGACCACTACAAACCACAAATGTGGCAGCATATGCAACTAGGGCTGCAACAACTAATCGACATAATCGATTATAATCGATTATTGAAAAAGTTGTCAACTTTTTCAATCATCGATTAATCGGCTTCAGATTGGTTGGCCCTGTTCACAGCTCCACACACGCTGCGCGCCACACCTCCTCCCCACCTCACGCTCGCTGCTGCCAGACCCGCCGCATCCACGCTCCACACGCCGCACCTCCTCCCCGCCTCACGCTCACCCAAATCCACGATAGGCACAGGGACACGGGGAGAAGAAGGTAAGGAGGAGCAGTTGTGGGCGGATGATAGCTGCCGATATACAGGCCCGATCTCAGAAACAAGTTGCTGGAAGACTGCTCAGGTAAGCCTGCACTCCTCTCCCCCCCACATGGTGCTCTATAATGTATTGCTGGGATAGTGGGATTTGTAGTCCTCTATAGCTGATGGTACATTGTGCTGTATATTATACAGAGCATGAACCCGTACCATCAGCTATAGAAGAGTACAAATCCCAGCAATACATTATACACTGTATGTATAATGTATTGCTGGGATTTGTTGTACTCCTCTATAGCTGATGATATTCTGCATTGCGTTGTATAGGGGACTACAAATCAAGGAATAATACATTATACAGCGCAATGCGGAATACCACCAGCTATAGAGTACAACAAATCCCAGCAATAATACATTATACAGCGCAATGCAGAATACCGCCAGCTATAATGTACTATTGCTGGGATTTGTAGTCCTCTATAACCGGTGCCATTCTGCATTGATTGCTGTATAATTCTACACTTTTCATTTCACTATATTGCACACCACACTTTTTTTTTCCTTTTTACCTCCACCGCTCCAAGCTTGCTCCTGTGATGGACTACAATCTCAATACAAACTAGTAGTCCATCACTGGAGCCATCTTTTAAAATGTATTTAATTTTTTATCCGATTAACCGATTAATCGAACTTAATAATCGGCTAACTAATCGATTTTTAAAATAATCGTTAGCTGCAGCTCTATATGCAACAACCTCATAAAAAGAACCAGAGACACAAAGTAAAGAAGCCAGGAAGCATTAATAAAAGCCGAGCTTCTCCAAGCTTTATCACTTCATTTGGTTAAAATACCACCCATATTGCAAAATTTGTCCTATATATAGGGTGGCCCCAGAAACATGTTTGCTCTTGCACAGGGGCGTAACTAGAAATCACAGGGCCCTATAGCAAAATTTTGTATGGGGCCCTGTGATTTCTAGTTAAAACCCTTGCAGAGCCCACTTGAGATCCCACACAGCCCACCTGAGGGTGACCTTGCAGAGCCCACCATAGACTCCCTATGGTGGGCTCTGCAGAGTCACCCTCAGGTGGGCTGGTCGCACTCCTTACCTGTCCGCCTCCTCTTCTTCCACGCTCGCTGATGGGCCCCGCCTTCCTCCTCAGTCGCCGGGCCCACCTTCTTCTCCATCACCGGGCCCCACCTCCCTCTCCGGGTCCGGCCTCCTCCACCGCTGGCTCTCATTGACTCAGCAGGGGCTCTGGAGACGGACGCGCTGCTGCAGAGATTACGGTCAGTGATCTGAACAGCAGCGCATTCTTCTTCAGAGCCGCCAGTGAAAGTCACCAGCAGAGGATTCCATAGGGACCCAGGCGGTCCGCTCTGCAACTGGCCGGCCCCCACGGTGCCCCATAGCGGCCGCCTGGGTCGCTATGGCGATTGTTACGCCACGGCTCTTGCATAAAGCCTTTACTTGATCTTTGAATTAACATAATCTGGACGATTTATGGTGTGGCACCTCAATATCAGGTTCATTTATCTGCAACACAAAACTACGGAACCTGGAAGAAGCTGTGTAGAAGCCTCCACCCCAAAAATCAAGACAACCTGGTAAAACACCACCACCGCAACACTACTGGACAGAAACACCAATTGGATCATCCTAGGGTTCCTGATCCATTCTCCAAAGCACTAAGGACTGGGAACAGGCAACTAGGAGGACGTTTCTGGCAGTTATTCTCAGGATTTGGTGTGGCATGGAGGCAGTGAGAACAGCTTGGACAGCTAGGCCTGAAACAGAACTAAGAATCTTCGCAAATTTTAGGAATCCAGACTTGGCAACGTAACTTCATAGGATACAAAGTTAAATCGAGCTCTCATGCCTGTGCAGGGGGGTATAGCTTGGAGAAAGGAGGAACTCCCTATTTGCTTGAGGCAGGGCATATATACAGAGATCTGCTGTGTGCCCCCATCTATAGGTTCATGTAATAAAACTAATACATGAGCAGAAACAGAACTAAAGTGCATAGTTGCTAAGTTGGCAATTAAACGTGCAAATTTCAAGTACCCATGTACTGCTTTTAGCATTTTTTTTTTTTTGTTAATGGTAGGCATGCACCGAGACCGAGTACTCATCCAAATGCTCCGATACCTGCCGATAGCGGAACTTCCAGTCAGAGGAAGAATTCCTCTGACTGGCAGTGCCATAGGGGACCATGGAGCCGGCTTCCCAGGTAAACAGGAAGCTGGGCGGCTGGCAAGACGGCTTCCCAGGCCCATCGGCATGGAGCTGGTTGACCAACATGGAGCCGGCTTCCTGTGCAATCAGAAGGCCGGGCGGCATGTCATTACCTGCCTCCCGGCTTCCTGATTACCCGGGAAATTGGCTCCATGCCACCAGAAGCACCGGTATTGGTGCATCCCTAGTTAATGGTAGTGTTGGTCACAGAACCACATCAAATCTTGTTAAAAAGAAAATGACAAGCTAGTAGGGTCTAGGAGGTTATTGAAATGCACAAACCTGATCCACGGTCTCTTTGATCTTTCGCAGACCGACATTCAAATGCATCTGCTGCTCTTCAAGCTCACTACGTTTCTCATTAAACAGATCTGCGTAATGGTTTATGAAGTCCAAGTAATGGCGGGGCGTGATGGCCATTGTTCTACCACCTCGCTTGGCAAGTCGAGCATTTGCCTGGAACAAAACAAAAAAGCCTCGTTAGACCCGACCCATTCATGTGTGAAGTCAAGCACATTTCTCAGGAAAGCTCCCTGTTATGGACTATGCAAGCTCAAAAATAGGAGGAGTAGTAGTATACAAGCCAATGAGAGAGTTACATTTCTGGTTTCCTAAACCTCTTAAAAGAACAAGTCATGATAAAAAAAAAAAAAATACATAATTGTGAGATGCATAACTGCATTCATTGGTTGTCTGAAGTTCAGCTTTGAATTTAACCATTTGTTGGCCTTAGTCCCAGTGATAAAAGGACCAGCACAACCCAGGTGCCTCAACAGACAGACATAGGGGCAAAAAAAAGAAATGGTTGATGTACCTGGTGAAGAGTTTGGTGAACAAACACACAGCCATTGACAATGGCCTCCCGATGAGAAGGAGTCTGGGGCAGTCTGTCGTAGACCACAGGCATGTAGTCTGGAACAATGTAGTTCGGCTTTTCAAGGTCCATTTTGCTTGTGAACTCCTTGCCGACTTGATAGAGGGCTTCTGTTGACCAGTCACCGAACCAGTTCAGTACACACCTTTAACAGGAGGTAAAAGTAATGAGTATTTGACATTAAATGGGCGTTCAATATGGCAGAAGTGGTTCTAAAGTCACAGACCTGTTGAACAGAGCTGGAGAGGTGGCGGCTCTGTCCTTCAGCCCTTCCGAGGATGGGTTCATGGTGAAGACCACGTGCAGGTTCCGGATGACCTGGCTAGTGAACCATTTGTACAGTTCCTCGTGCGAGTCAAGCATGGAGCCTTCTTTCTGAGCTCCTTCCTTGCACTGTGTCATCAGCGTGGAATACTCGTCACCCTCAAACAAGCCCGGAACCTTCACACAGCAAGCAGAGAGGACGACGTGAGAACAGGACCTGGATCAAACAAACAGTCTACAAAACGCCAATGAAGGAGGAAATAATCTTACCTCTCCATTGGCCAGCAAAGTGTTCATTCTCTCCAGGAATCCAGAGTCTAGAACATTGGACTCATCCATGATGAAGGCAATCTTCTCGTTCTTGCAGCCAGACCGCCTCAGGACAGTTCTTAGATCTTCATCAAAGTCCTCGCCTGTGTACTTCCGGTGCACCTATGTCAAATACAGCACAACTTCTAAAACCAAACTCAAAAAAGAAGAAAACGGACTAAAAGCGTGCGTTTGGGACACACACACACTTGGGAGCTGTAGTTCTTGGGGTGGTGTATGCTAAACAAGAACTGCCCTAGGGTACCAACAGCTCTTCCTGCAAGAAATGTACAAGTTGGGTCACATGGAGCAACAGGGGAAAATTCTCTAGAGGATAGATAGGGAGGTTTGGGGGTACATTTGGGCCTTGCTTGGCAGCTGCCTGTAAAGGATTGATTATGTCTAATGAATGAATACCTTGATCTGGTAAACACTAAGACCGTTCATCCAAGCAACAAAACGGGACAGCGTGGTCTTCCCGGCTCCGCTCACTCCAATGAGAAGTAAATGGCCTTGTGGTTGTCGGAAGATTCTAAACAAGGAGGAAAACAATGACAATGTAAACTGTGTGCTCATGTCCGGAAGAAAAACAGCTTTGCTTATTGGGAAGTAAAAAACAGTAATCTTTATGCCAAGCATTTAAAATAAAGAAAACGATACAATAAACCAAAAAGAAAAAAAAATTAACAGATCTGAAAAGTCCACAGTATTTACTAGGGATGCGCCGACACGGATACTAGTATCGGAGCCGATACCGAGTACTCGCCCAAATGCTCCGATACCGGAACTTCCGGTCAGCAGTGCCATAGGAAAACATGGAGCTTCCCAGGCAATCAAGAAGCTGGGCAGCGAGAATTGACACACCTCCCGGCTTCCTGATTGGCCAAACAGCTGGCTCCTTGCTGATTGGCTGGGAAGACAGCTCGATGCCAATTGACTGGGAAGTCAGTTTCCCTGCCAATCACAATCGAGCCCACCAAACATGGAGCCGGCTTCCCGGGCAATCAGGAAGCCGCGCAGCATGACAATACCTGCTGCCCGGCTTTCCGTTTGCCCGGGAAGCTGGCTCCATGCCAGCAGAAGCACCGGTATGAGTAGCGGCGAGTATCAAGAGCAAAATCCCGGTACTCGAAACCGAAAAACTGGTATCAGTGCATCCCTAGTCTTTACCTTCTACTGGATATAAAAGCAAAACTGAAGATCTGGAGACTTGCATGTACCTTATTTCATACATCTGGTGCTCAAGGGTCTGCCAGCATGGCAGTCTCACGTACATCTGTAGGGGAAAGGTTGGCGATATATCTTACCTGTCAATTCTTAGCACATGATCCAGAACTTCATTGAACAGTACAAGAGGCACATCCAGCTCCTCCTCATAGAAGACTTTCAGACGAGCCTTGACGTAATCTCTTAGCTCTTCTTGGTCCACTGGAATGTAATCCTACCAAAGTAAGTTCAAGCAGTTTAGAATGAATATATTAGACTTCAAGAGGCTTAAACGGCAACTCCACCCAAGTTAAAGAACCCCTGTGCCCAGACTATGGACATTATGTATATGCTGTATTCCTAGCCAGCAGTAAAGCAGCCCTAAAACAAGCCATGCATGACCTCTCTAGCAGTTTTAATGTGATGTCATTCATTCTCAAAAGAGCCACAAAGACTCAAGTTAGGTTTCAGTGTGACCCCGATAGCACCAAAGGGCCCATTTGGACTGCAATACTTGTAAGCGTATCAAAAGACTATGCACTTTCTCAGGCCAATATCAGACCCGGGACCATATACCTTGGACAGCCAGTTGCTGTACAGGATTGGTCTGCTCAAAGCTTTTTCTTTCTCAACATTAGGGAAGTGTTTAAGAGCCACCATGTCGATGTTCTCATCTGTCCAGCGCCTCTCCTCATCTTCAACAAGCCTGTTGACAAAAACAAAACTCAATTAAAGCTATAAAGTTTAAAGTTTATTTCTACCTTTCCAGCCAAACACCTTCCTTTGTTACATGTTCCCATTCACGCAGCTGTGCAAGCACCGGACCAGACTGCAGGCACAATGTTCCTTGCGATACCGTGCGGGCGATCGCATTGCGGCTGGAGGGCGTGGCTTCGGTGCCATTCACTTCAAAAAGGCCCGCCGCGCCACCTTCAACCCGGCAAAAAAGTGAGCCGGCCACAATGTGAGGCAGTGCGTTCCGGCCAGGATCGGGCCGGAACGCACTGCATATGGTGGGAACGAGGCCTAAAGGTTCTGCTTTGTATGTTAAAAAAAAAGTGACATTAAACCTTTTTTGTTGGCCAGATTAGCTAAAAAAAAAAAAAATCACCAAAAGAAAGCTCTATCTGTCCCCAAAAAAGGGTATAAAATTCATTTCAGTACAGCGCTGCATGACGGAATAAATGTCAGTTAAAGTACCGCAGCGCTGAATACTGAAAAATGGCCTGGATGGGAAGGGGGTTTAACACCGCGGATGTCAACTGGTTAATTCTCATTCTCAAGTGGTATCCAGACTGCAAGCCCACCCCATATGTACGGGTGCCTCCATCAGCTAGCTGACTGCTGTGGAGGCACCTAGCTTTGTGCATCCATAGAGACACACACAGCATGCGGCCGGCCACGCCCTCACCCTGCAGTCATAGCTGGACTGATGGCAGAAGGAGCCTATGACTCCTCTGCCCTCAGTACCCTCCCCCCACAACCAGGAAGTTTGGGAAAACCTGTGCATCTTCCTGATTGCAGCTGACGACACGAGCGGCTGCAGGTAAGTGTAGGGGGGACGGGAGTGTAACAAAAGTGCTGGATGTCTTTTGCCTTGAGGCAGGGAGTGTATTAAAGCAAAAAACACCCAGCCTTTAAATGCTACTTTAATTCAATTTGTCCCTGAAGTGTCCCTAAATAATCAAAGGTGGACACTCACTTAAAGTGTTATTCACAAAAGGGTGAAGAGTTTGGAGAAGGCAGGAGAAGTGAACAATCTAGGACAAAATAGCCGATTTGGAAAAATTCTCCAGTTCAGCTATGTTGTTCTAGATTGTTCACTTCTCCAAACCCTTCACCCTTTTTGTGAATAACCCTGTAAGTCTGCATGCTACAAAAGCCACAATGGCAAAACATACCTGTCTTGGAAGAGACGAAGAGCTTCATGGGCCCAGATTCTGATTAACCCTTCAACAGACAGGGTTTCCAGTGGCCTCAAAGCTTCAAAAATACCCCTCACCCATCGCGTCATCTCACGGGGTGAGTAGATGTAATGCGGCTGGGTATCCTGAGTAAATCTCTCCTGTCGATAACATAACAAACTTTGATTAGTCTTCAGCCCCCTATCCAGATGAAATTACAAGCAAGATATCAATTATCTTTCTCTCCACTAAAAATATAGTTTTGTTGAAACCTGGGACATCGTGTAGAATTCCACCATGGCTGCGGTCAGCGGCTCCGCATAGGTGCGCAGTGCAGGAATGAGTCTTAGCATTGCACGGTTGAAAGTTCCGTAGATCTGAGTCAGTGAGGCGGGTCCAGGATAGTCCACGTACACGACTGGGACATGGCGCAAAAACCTGGAAGGATTTAAATCAGATATTGTCGTTCTGTCCGTGTGATTGCATATTCCAATGATATTCAAATGGATGCACATGAGAGAGAGACACAGAGAGAGACACAGAGAGACACAGAGAGAGGAGAGAGAGACACAGAGAGAGGAGAGAGAGACACAGAGAGGAGAAAGGAGAGAGAGAGAGAGAGAGAGACAGAGAGAGAGAGAGAGAGAGAGAGACACAGAGAGAGGAGAGAGACAGAGAGGAGAGACAGAGAGAGAGACACAGAGAGAGGAGAGAGAGAGAGAGAGAGAGACACAGAGAGAGGAGAGAGGGAGACACAGAGAGAGGAGAGAGAGAGAGAGAGAGAGAGACACAGAGAGAGGAGAGAGACAGAGAGGAGAGACAGAGAGAGAGACACAGAGAGAGGAAAGAGACAGAGCGAGGGACATATACACACACACACACACACACACACACACACTGGATAGAGAAAGCCTGTCACATGATTTAAGGTCATGTGACCAAGCTCTCCAGCATTATGCAGAGAACACAGACTTTCATAAATATATTCTACTGCATTAAACAGCAGTGAGCAAAAAAAAAAAAAAGCTGTTGAAAAATACTCCAGATCCAGCATGTTGTATCATTCGCAATTAAAAAAAAATGTCAATATTCACAGCTTTTAAACCCAATCATACCTGTGTGACAATGGCTTTCTTCCAGGGTCTGTCGGTGGGTTGCAAGCTCCAACAAACTGAATCCTTTCCAGTTTCACCCAAGTCTGATCTGAGGTCCTGTAGAAGCCGCCATGTTCCACCATCTAAAAGCAAAGGGGAAACATTGATTGATTAAACAGGTGAAACTCGAATAATTAGACTATGGTGCAAAGTTCATTTATTTCAGTAATGCCACTTAAAAGGTGAAACTAATATACGAGATAGGCTCATTACATGCAAAGCAAGATAATTCAAGCCGTGATTTGTCATCATTGTGATGATTATGGCTTACAGCTCATGAAAAACACCATGCATGCATATGTACTCAGTACTTGGTTTGGGCCCCTTTTGCAGCACTTACTGCCATTACTTTTGCACGATATTCTAATTATTCGAGAGAGAGAGAGAGAGAGAGAGAGAGAGAGAGAGAGTGTGTGTGTGTATCACATAGTATTTGAGGTTGAATAAAGACACAGGTCCAACGAGTTCAACCTTTATGTGTAAGTGTGTGTAGGAGTCTGTGGACTTAGGTTTTTAAGAGTACCTGTACCCCTGTATGTTACGGTCTCTGAGGATTATTCAGCAAAACAGATATCAATTATCAAAGCAATGCATCCCAAAACCTCCAATGATTTTACACCATGCAGCATTTAGGAAACTGAAACCTTGACAAGCAATTATGACTTTCAAAATTGCTGATTCGTTTTAAAGGTCTTGATTGCTTTCAGAGCAGTGTTATTTGTCATTTGAATACATATGTTCCTAGCTGATCAGTAAAATCCAAATCAAAAAGAAAAAAGGACAAACTAAAGACATACATGGGTAGAATGTTTATCAGGTTAAAGCTATAAAGCATTTGGCCAATATTATGTTACACTTTAATGGCCATTCATACCAGCAGCTGTGGTCCCCCAAGCAAGAACAAGGCAATTGTTGCCTTCTGTCCTATGGCTTCAGTTCACACCAACATGTTGGATTGGTGTTTGCTACACACTGTAATTCATGTTAACATCTACTGCAGCAAGCGTGCATTATGTGCACAATAATGGACACGTCATGGTGTCGATAACAGAATGCCAATAAGCATTGTGTATCTACCTCTTAGCAATGTCCAACTGAATAATCCCTGAATAGTGGAATAGATAAAACAGGAGGTTGTGACACAGCCCCTCCTACCTGTCTGATGAAAGAGATGACTCTCTGGGTGCCATATTTGTCCATGTCTGGCAAGTTGATTTCATCACAGAACAGCACCAGCCACTTTCCAAGCTGAACAGGGGCCAAGACCACGCCGTTTGGTGTCCGCCGGTACTCGCAGTAGTGATCGAACGTCTTCAGCAGCAACTCTGGGGTGGTGGCACTGGAAAAGTTCAAGCCGACAACCTGAAGAAATAAGAATGGTCATGCAAAGTTCTGAAGACAAGAGCCGGTAAAAACTGTCTAGATGAGCCGATCGCATCTCACCTCCATATCGGGCAGAGCTCTTAGAGCACTGAACAGCGTCATGGTTTTTCCGGAGCCGGGGGGCCCACACAGCACCAAAGGTTTGTGTTCAGCCAGCCAAGTGTACAGGAGAGCTTCATGTCGGACGGTATCCAGGGTGGGCACAACAACATCTGGGGCCGCAACTTTGTGAGTCTCGACCTCAATCTGCGGAACTTTAGTTTGCCAGGGCTGCCATTCTCCGCTGATGGAAACCTAAAGAGCGCAGGACACATATAAGTCTGTGTACAGAGAAAGCAACGTCTCAGACAGAATGTCTGTTATTGGATCTTTACCTCGTAGTCAATAATTGGTATGTTGGGCGCACTCGGGAGCGGGACGGTAGTTATCCGCCTGATGTATTCTCCGAGCTCTGCCCTCATCTTCAGACGTCCGTCCCCAGAGAATGACCACAGCACAGCATAAATCAGGTAGCGCTAAAAAACAAAAAACAAAACCCTTTGAAGATCAATTTAGTATTAAAACCAAGAATATATTTATTGTAAATCAAAGTCTTTGCAAAATAAGAACAAACCGAATAATTCCGGTCCTTACACTTGCGTGAATCAGCTTGCGTACATTCCAATACTAAAAAGAGAAATGCCTTTTTCTTTGCACCTTTACTGGTGGTCACATGACCGTTCAGGTCCCACTTCTCGCCTTAGTTCCAAGAGCGGAGGACCGAGACTCAAAGAGATACTTGGTGGCTTTCACCGACATCACAGGTACCAGGTGCTCTCTTACTCCATGGAGACCTGTTAAGCTACCTCAGGCTGCAGGTGGGGGATACATGGATGATCCACATCCCTTAGCACTCCCTGCCTACAGCAGTTTGGCTGGGGGGCATGGCAGCAGTAATCTGACTTCAGGCACACCGTTTAAACAGTGCTCAGTGAAGCTTGCAGAAAGAGCGAGTGGCGTGCAATTTAAGACTAGTGTTCTTTCTCCATGCCAGCTATTGACTGCCACTTAGTTGTCAACATACACGGCAATGTGTACCTGCATCTCCCCCCTTTTCCTTTGTAGTCTGGGTGCATTCTGGGACGTGTACAAATGTAGCCCACAACTCCTGTGGGGAGGGGGGACGACGACGACACACACACACCAAAGATTAAACAGTTCCTCAATGCATGTCCTGGCTCCGCAGCTTTTAGCATCAGAAGCAACACAGGAGAGAACAAAAAAATAGTGTAGACAGAAGGTGGCACAATTTCGCGTCACTTAAGGTGCCCACACACCTTGCGATTGTCGGCGGGTGTGTGGCATGTTCGTAAGATAAATGCCGCACGGGCCGGTGTGTGCAAGCGCACACTGCCCGTTCAGCATTGCGGTCATCGGAAGCCCGCCCCCTCAGGGGGGCGGGCTTGCGATCATCTCAAGTACGATCTGCCTGTCCAAGATAGGCAGATCGTTCGTTTTTTTAATTACCTTACAATGGTTGTAAGGTGTGTGCCCAGCATTAGACTCCTCCACATTAATTAAATCATTCCAAATAGCTGTGTTCATGGGGCAGGCAGGATTCAGGGTAGAGGAGCTGTGCAGTGGAACAGACAGGAAATGTTGTAGGATGTCTAAAGCTTCTGTGCGAGCAGCAAGCTGAAACTCACTATTACTTAAAGCCGAAATGGTCCCAGAGACTGAGCAACGCTGATTTACTACTATATATAAACACCTAGCAATCTAATTACATTTTCTGAAATTGTGTAGGAGCTCCTAGGCATATCACCTGTATGTAGCGTTCCAGCTGCTCAATCGGCATCGGGAAGTCTGGGTGGTTGGCATTGTACTGGGCAATGTTGCGGCAGGCCTGGTGCATCATAGAGAAGAGGGAGCCAAAGCAGCGCAGTCGAGTCAGGTCCATGATGTGTTCCAGCTTGAAGGCATGCTCGAGGGCTTTGATAACCAACCCGTTGGATGTGAAATATGGCTGCAGTACTGCTGATGCATCTCGTTGGATCTAGAAGACATTTTACACTTATGAAACTTGTGATCTGTGCATGATATTCATGAAAACAAACAAACTGCATGCAAAGTAGCCTCAAATAAGCTAGCAAATGAAAAAACACTATACTAAAAAAAAAAAAAAAAAAAAAAAAAAGGAAAACATTTAAAAAAAAGGGGGTTTTACAAAACATT